TGAAGATGAACTTTATTATATAACTTAACTGAAAACTTTAGGTGATATTACCACTATTGGGGCAAATTATATTGACTCTAGACCAACTTCATTTACCCACTCCTTTATTTTCCATGCTACCTGTTGCATTTAAAATTTCCCTGCAATCATTCAGAACTTCCCTTACAGGATGATTATCTCTTTGTCCCTGCGACATGTTTCCGCAATGTTGTCTGGGGGTTTGGCAAAAGGAGAGTGAGACTGTGGGCGGTGCTCAGGGTGGTGACTGAAGGCGGTGACTGTGTAGTTCTGACGTCAACTTTTTACGGAAGTCACAACCGCCACAGCTACTTTGTGCAGGCTGTGTGAATTTTACTGTGGACTGACTGTTTTGAAACTTATATGGTAGTTACATAGCACCTAGACCATAGCACCATAGCACCATTCTAACGACCATTTTTCAACTACTTCTATAGCTTCTTGAATTTTATTCATATTAAAAGATATATTCCTTCCTCTTTTCCACATTATACCATCGTCTGCATGTAATCCAGCGCTAATTCCCGGAGCCACCTGTCTTGTTGTCTTCCTTGGAATGAACTGAAGTGTTTTCATCTTCCAGACGCAGAACAAAAAGAGGGCGTTTCTCAATTACTGGGCATTTTCACATCGGGATAGGCGTTTTTAACTCATCAGAACAGCACGAAAGACCTATAGGACATGTGATATTATTTTCTTTTTACTTTCTGGAGTTTCCAGCTGTTTTGTTATGTCTAGATCACGAGAACTTATGACGAGATCAAAATAAATAAATAAAACAGGGAAGCTGTTCGTTTTTCTCCGGTGCACAGGCGTACACATATATTACATTTAGATTAAAAGTAAAATAGATTAAAATTATAATTCATTTAGATCAGATTTAACGCATTTGCTTAAAGAGGTTTTGTGTTTGATTAGAAATAAAACCAAAAGCTGAAGATTGTTTGTGGTGTACCTTCCATCAGTGTCTTTGCAAATCTACACGATCACTAAAACTGATGAGAACTGAGATTAAGCTCATTCTTTTGTCTCTATACATAAAGAGACATTTGTGTAGATGGACGAACACAATCGCCTGAGTTTGTAAATGTGGCCAATTACATTTGCATTAAGCACCCAGTTTGCGTTTGTCTATCATTTAAATTAATAGCTTACATTTACAAAATGAGCCTTTTTAATGAAAGTAAAGTCCATGCTTAATACAATTCTCAATGAAATTAAAAATGTTAAATTAGAGAAAAAAAAAGATTGTTGTTCAATTTAGTTTAATATATTTGTGGCAGAGATGGCCAAGTAGAGAGAGATTACAGAACAAAGAACAGTAAAATTGTAACTATTGATCAGCTACGCCTCCCAGAATCCACCAAAACAAACTAAAGACAAATACTATTATACTTTTGTAGCTAACCAAATAAACACACTTCATACTTTTCAAAACGAATATCTGCTCCGAAGAAACACGTAACAAAAGGAAACAAAATCATTTTTCTGTCTAACTTCAAAAAGAAAAAAAAAGTGCAGTTTTGGGGAGATTTAAGGTATTTATAAATTATATTGCAGAGCTCTAAAGATTGTTTCCTATTAGAGCAAATCTAAATCTGCTTGAAGCTTTATAACCATCAGCACTATTAATAAAGTAAACAAAATAAACACCAACCTGTTTGTTCTTCAGTATCTTCAGTGTGTTCTCTCTGTCATTGGATCATTTTTAGAGCTTTAGTGCTGTAAATAGTTGTGTTGTCACTGAAAAGTGCTTTAATTTCTCTCTCAAAAGGTTGTACAACGCCTGAAATGACTGAGGTAATAACAGTTGACTATTTCTGCCACAACACCGTGGCATGCTGTAGTAGCATTACTTCTGGTTTTCTACATCAGCGCTGTTTGATCGGTTTATAACAGATAATTCTGAGCAGAATTTGAGCGTTTCTCTAACAGCAGTGTTGGGCAAGTTACTTCCAAAATGTAATACATTATATATTCTACTTTTTAGTTACTTTTGAGTTACTTTCACCAAAATATCCACAGAAGTATTATAAAATGCCAAAATGTAGTTTATTGCTGCTCATTCTACACCCAGTGGAGGGTAATGTGGTAGGTCTATATAGCATAAAATCATAAAATCATATTTAGATGCCGGTATGTAGGTCTACATTAATGCTACGTTGTAGTTTAGGTTAAACACATAAGCAGAAACCGCATTATTACATTCATAAATAACACCGGTAAATAAAGTTAAATGTTATCATGTACAAACAATAAACACAATACCTAGCCTATAGGCAATTTTGAACGGTTTCAGAAGAAAACAAGAATAAAAAATATAGGCTAAGTTGCTAAACAAGCCAAAACGAATTAGGCTAATCAGTGGCGGCGCTAGGGCGGGGCTTGACGGGGCCCATCAGAAACTTGCTTAGCCCCGGCACAGCCCCCCCTAAGGATTTCCTAATGATGTTCCCTTATTTTTGGTGTCACTTTCATTAACATTGAAAAATAAACACATTAAAAAATGCCTAATATGTGGCCTATAAACGATTGATATTATGGGGGAGGGGTCAAGCAACACAGCAAGCAACACGCAAACTGTGCAAGAGTTATGCCGGTGAACGTCAGTAAACTCACTATAGAGAAAGTGAAAGTAAAAAAACTGACGGAGCTCTCTAACGCTGCATTAACGGCGCATATTCTCTGAGACAACAAAAGACAAAATTATGTCAATATAGGCTGATGATGGTATATAACTGTCTTAAATTATTCCCTTAATAATTGTTCTTGTGGCCCGTATAGTGAAAAACATGAGAAGAAACGTTATATCACTAATAACAGTGGCATATGAGAAGTTTATACCACAGAAGAAAAAAAAAACTAAAATATGCCTTTTTCGAAGCTGCTGTATATAAAAAAACACAAGGTGGCTGAATTTGTATGCTTAAAGGCGTTCATTATTTTCACTCAATTTAATTAGTTTTTAAGCCCCCAGGTTAATTCAATGCGAAACTAAACGCAAACAGCGTTGTGGCGCAGCCTACCTCTCTCATTCGGCATTAATCCAGTTAAATGTGTCCATATTTGCGATGTATTTGAATGCTAAACTATTATTTATTATGTAAACCAGGCTTATAACGCACTTAAAAAACATACTCGTCACAGGAGCAAATGTGTCTTTGGCCCGAGCTCAGGCTGAACGGCACCGATTGTAGCTACTACGCAGTACGCACTATTTAAATTAACCAGTGTATCTATGAAAATCTGGTTTGGTTGACTATTTTATTCTGATAATGAACAGGCTGCAACGTTTGCAATGCTGTATGTGTGTGCGTGAGGCGCCAGCGCGATCGAACAGCGGAAACAAACAACAAAAAAAAATACTCTGTTATTTTTGGTCATACAGATCATTCCAAACTGCAATGTGTTTACTTTTATATCTGTAATCTCGGTTTCCTTTCCGTAGACTTTCGTAGAGCGCAGCGCCACACAAATAGCCTATGAACCAAACTCAGCAGCATAGCCTATGTATCTATCAGTCTTTTCCTTTCGTTTTGTTAATCTGTTAATTAGGCTATTAAGTCAAATATTTCGCATATTCATTCATTTTACATATAGACTATGATTTAATCAAAACAGATTTTGTTATTTTTAGTTAAACTTAATTTTTGTTGCTTGTCTGCGCTCGTCCGCCGCCTTTTTCCTCTTCTCCAACCCCGCGGCTCTCTCCGATAGCCCCTATTTCTAGCAGCAAACACTCAGAATAAAGAGAGATGATCTTCTGATGATCCTGAATGTCTTGTTGAATGAGTGTTGATTGTCTGAGGATCATCAATATTAACAGAGCTGCTGAAAAGACTCTTTATTTCATGTCAATAGTTCCCGTTTTCACCTCATTTATTATGCTGATGTCTTTAGATCTCCTGTAAATTGACACTTAAAGCTCATTTCATTGGTGTCAAAAGACTGAGGAGATGTGTTGGTTACAAATATCTACATGTATTTCAATTTTTTATGATTTCAACCAGGGCTCTGAACCGGTCCAAGGAACAAAAACGAAAACGAAAACCCGGAAACGAATGAAATTTTGACAGGAACAGAACCAGAAACGAAATCAAATGTTATATTTCTGAACTGTCTGAATGTGTTGCGTTCAGCTGACCAGCGCCTCGCTGTGCTAATATAGCCAATGTAAAGGATGATGTTTTACCACATGAAAGTACAAAGCCTAGCCTATAATAAATCATATTTTAGCATCTGCATACATCACAAATATGTAAACATTTGGATTTGTGCCGCATGAGAGAGGTAGGTATGAGTTTCACCTTAAATTAATTTGTTTTGGATTAACGTTTTAATAGCCTAAACGCATAGCCTTAACTTTAGAGAATTTGTTGTGGAGAGAAACTAATAACTGTGTCTATAATGTTTGTAAACATTTTGCTATAGCCTACATTATTTCTGAATGTAATAGGGCTAAAAAAATGCGACGTGAACCTATATATGCAACTTCAATTTTTTTTTTTTTTTTTTTTTTTTTTGTGTGGT